AAAAAAAAAAAAAAAAAAAACAAACAAACAGAAACATCACACCTGCTTTCTGTCATTAAACAATTCGGCTTCCACATCAGAATTTCCCAAACTTAAAAATCCATCTCTCCTTCCGAAAACAAATATTCAATAAAAGCACTCCATATCACATAAGATCACCTCATGCATCACATTACTACTGGTAACAAAGGGCGTCCACTGAAAACCAGAATCTGAAACAATTAGCAATTCGCAGATATCTCATGGACATCTGAACAAGGTAATCGGCAAAGAAGCCCTTAAAAGCTGTAAAGAACTGTGAAGGAAAAAAGCAAAAGACATATCAACTATCTGACTAATAAACGCATACAAATGCTTATCTTGTTGATTCAAAAACCAAAATTCAAAATCATTAAAGTTTATTTATTTATAAAACCAGGCTTGACAACAAAAAAAAAAATGAAAAAAAAAGAAAATCACTGCACTAGGACATTTAAAATCAAGTTCCGGACATATCTTTTCACCGAAATATTCTCATTTGCCTCTTGCTCCTCAGCAGATCCCTATGAGACTTCAATAACATCAGTGATCTTCAATCCAAGAAGATCTCAGTTTTTCAAATGTGATAAACCGCTGCAAAACAGAAAATCTAATATCCAGGTGGTATACAAAAACGCTAATTTTTTCAAAACATTAAGTTGCAGAAAATAAAAAAAATGGCAAAAATGTTTTTTCAAAACCTTGACGGTAATGACTTAAGATTTGTAGGGAATATACTGATACGATACAGTTAAATTTATCGGCCATTTCGGCCAACAACAGAATTTTACACCGTTAGGTATGCTCAAAAGTGCCAGGAAATGGGCAACATACAGTTGACATCAGAATGTCGAAAACATTGTTAAATTGACAACTGCCCACAAAGAAAGAATTCATTGAAGAAGAATAAAAAAACTGAAAAGAAAAAATAAATAAATAAATAAAGCTGGAAACATTTTGTAATTCCGTTTTTTTAACCATAACATTAATAGAATTATACCAATAGATAATAGAATATTTTGACTAGTTACTCTCCTCGCTTCAATTCAATTTCACCTAGAAAAATGTTTCTACCCTTCAACTGTTCGTCACCCAGATTTTGCCAGTTACCAAACTGTCAAATAAAGAGAAGTAACTCTATGGGAGCAAAAAGATGTAAAAAATTAAAATTAGGGAAGTGACGAAGAACTGCGAAGCAAAGTTTCAAAGAACTATATCAAAATAATCAGCTTATATAACTCAAATAAAGCCAAAAATTTTAAGTTTAACTTTCTTGTTTTTACTTTTTAAAAAGCCTTTCAAACAATTCCCTTCTTTTGTTTTCCTTTTATTTGCAACGAAGTTTTTGAAAAGTGCAAAGATTTTGGTGAACAAATTGAAGGAAATGAGAATAAAAAAGAAAGCGGAATGACATCAAAATTCAACTAAGTATATATGAAAATAATTAACAGTTGAAAGACGAGCGAAAAGCAGTAAAAAACGTACACCTCTAAAAGTATTAACTTCCTTACAAAATGCGGCTTTTGTTTTCTTTCATCAGCTTTTATGTCTCAAAAACAATGTTAAATGATTTGGAAAGAGAAAGGGCTCAGGAAAGTCTAAGGGATAAATGTCCTGTAAAAACAATGGAAGAAAAACTAAAACAATCAACAATCAAACGGC